TGACCCGCTGTTTTCACCCATCTATTGATTCCACCTCTAATTTGCCAGCCCAAACTTCTGTCTGTCCATTTGTTCACCTGTTCTATGAGTCCTGCCTGTGTACCACCATCCCTGTGAAGGAAGGTTTTGGTTAAGAGAAATGAATTAGACATAGAATCTAGTGTAAGGAAGTTGAAGTGATTAAGGTTACGCTTCTTCTTAAAATTTGGCAGTGTGAGTGTGTGTGTGTGTATGTGTGTGTTGGTGTGTGTGTATTTTTTTAAAATGAGAAGAACGTACCTGGTAGACTGAATATGCACATGTAAAAATGGTATTGTCTTTATCCTTTGGATAGAATCCTCAGCAGTCTGTTGCTCTTGGGAGTAGAATATATTGATTAAAAGTTCTGGCTTCAGAGGGATTTGGGTTGTGGCTTTCTGTGCCTTTCACACATGCACTAACTTCTTTGAACTTCAGTTGCTCTATCTGTAAAACAGGGTTAATAATTCTGCTGTGTAGCATTGTTACCAGAATTAAATGGGATAACGCATGTGAAACAGCTGATTACCAAGCTCATAGGATGTGCCCAGTAATGTTAATTATTATCATTATTATACCTGTGCCAGATTATTTGAGATTCTCTAAGTTTGCCCTTTCATTTTCACAAAGATTAAAATGTCATTGTTCCCGTGAGGATCTGTGTCTTGCCTTTTTCGAGTTTCTGTATAACATAGCTTTGCATCATACAGAAATTGTTTTTCTGTCTCTGAAACACTTAAAAACATTTTTCCTACTCATATCTCACTTCACATGTTTTGCCCAGTTTCGATGCTACCTCATACATAACATCTCTTCTTAAAGTTCGTAATTTTGCTATGGGCAGGGAATATTTTAAATACCTTTGCATTTCCAGATGCTTTTCCACAAAGTAGGTACCTATTCAATACTGACTGAATGGTTGCTCCCTTACTTGTGGTAATGGGGCCCTGAATAAATAGTGCAAATGATGGTCTGCCTGAATTATTTAAACATAATTATTTTGGCACAATGGTGAGACCCAATCAAAAAAGTTTTGACATTGAGGTTGGTTTTTCCCATACGCCCTTCCCTGTCCTTGGAAGAAAATTTACCCCACTCCCTGCATTTTTAGTTGACAGGGCACATGCTTCATAGAGTGATGTGCATTGGAAAAATTTTCTTTTTCTTACTATAAATTTGAATATTTAAACAATTTTTATTTTAATTGACAATAATTGTACATGTTTGTGGGTTATAATGTGATGCTTTGATATTTGTTCACTGTGGTGTTTGGAAAGATTTTATCCATGCTGTTAAATGCATATAGCAAGTAAAGTTCAAGTCACCCAGAAACAAAGAGAAAAGAAATACACCATGGAACACATGTAACAAAAGATGAACCTGTGACATTGGTTCAAGTCTCATGATGAATAAAAATAGTACAACTTAATTATTGATCAATTTTGATATAAGACTTGAAGTATAGGCTCTTCTGGCACAGAGAACTCTGAGGCCTCAAATCACTCCATTAGTGAAAAAGCATCATGTTCTTTTGGTTGTAAGCTCTTTGAGTCCTTGTTTAAGTGCTCTCAAGTGCCAGAGGCTTTGGATTTCTAACAAGTTAACCTCTTACTCCATTTTTTACTGGGGCAATGACCAGTTAGCAGGTCACAGATAGGGAGGCTGGGTGTAGTGCTACAACCACCAGGGCTGTGTAGGTATTTCCCAATGTTCCAAGAAGGGGCTACACTTTCCACTTTTTATTGCTGAGTTTTGCTATGATAGAAGGTATGGGAGTCACGAACATTGCAGTGAGCCAGACCTAATTGAAAACCCTGGCATTGCCACTTACTGGCTTGGTGTCATTAAGTTTGAGAGAGCTTGAGCTTCTCTTTTCTTATCTTGAAATTGAGCATGTAGCATTATTTTGAACTTGATCATTATTGACATACCATCATCACCATCACCATCATCATTATTGGCATTATTTACTCATGACATGCTGAATATGTACATAGCCGGAACTCTTTCAAGTGCTTTACATGCATTAGTCCACTTAACTTCCTCAACAACATATGAGTAAGGTATATTATACTCGTAGTATTATTCTCATTTAAAACATCTAGTATAATTTTATTAGTAGTATTCCATAAAATTTATTTTCATCTTCCAGATTAAATACAACCTAAGCAATGTTGGTTTAAAATTCTGTTTCAAAGATAAAACATCCTGAAATCCCATTGCTGACATGAATGAATTTTGGGAGTTTATCTAGGCCAATGATTTCCATATTTTCTAAACCCCAAATTGTTGCTCCCATGATCCATATGTCAAAAATATAAAAGCATAGCTGTTCTGTTTGAGTTGTTACAGGGGACTTGAACCTCATGTAACAATTTATCTGTGCCCAAGGCTCTGAAAAACATGCACTGAAAATCACTGATTTTTTCATCTCCCAGGACATGTACGTAGAGAAAAAAGTGATTTATAGTATTTCTCAGCTGCAGACTCTGAATTACAAATTAGACCTCTTGATTCCTAGATCTGTGTGTTTCTGTGAGACTACAATATGTGTTATTAACATAGTAATTATTATTTACAAAATGTCCTGATTTAAAGATGATAAAATATCTTTGTATATTTTATTATGGAACTTTGCAACTTTTTTAGTAGGTCTAACCTGTTCCTCCTACATCACCACAAAATGCTGTCTGCTATATAAGCAATTTCCTTTTGGAAATTTGATGGGTTAGGTTTAGGGTTAGGATTAGGGTTAAAGTTAGGACAGTAGAGTTAGACAGGCAAATTAGAAGCAAAAATATTGAAAAATTCTGATGCTACTAAAATAAGCAAGTACATTGGATTTGGCATTTGTCCTGAGGACAATTTTAGTTCTGTGTGGTTTGGGATATGGCTTCTGATAGACACTGTGTAAGAAGATAGGACTCCTTGCAGCTAGTGTGAATTGCTTCAATAAGAACCTTGAAGGCTAAAACTCTTTGTGGGTGAATTAGGAAAAAAAATCACTGTGCAAGGGGAGATGTGTCTGTCAGTCTTGAGTCTAGACTGTACTCTAGAAGAGAAAATTTCCATTCTTGAAAGCTTAGCCTTAGAATTTATTTTATCTGTTTGGTTAATTCCCATCCCCAAGGCAAAAGTATAGTTTAAGTGATCCTAGACTGATAATTCTCCCAGGCAACTGACAGAACCAAGCACCAACACTATCTGAGGCAATGCAATTTAAAACCAAAACCTCAAATAATTCCCACAGATTAAGTTCCAAAGAATATGAAGTCACAAATGAAAGAATCCCTCAAAACACAAAATCATCATGTGTGATACTTTGCATAAACAACAAACTGCATAGTTATATGTATAAATATGGAACATATTGGAACTATTAATGTAAACTATGCATGTGTGAGGTGTTTTAAAGAAATAAAAATAATAAAATTAAAAGATGAAAGAATAAGGGACTGTCAATTTTAAAGAAGAATCAAATAGCATTCTAGAAAATAAAAATATAGTACGTGAAAAATAAAAACAATATCAGTGACTGAAACAGAATGTGACACAGCTTGAGAGAGAAGTAATAACTGAAAGACACATCTGGGAGTCACACAAAGTTCAGCCTAGAGAGGAAAATAAATGTATTAATGAAAGCAAATCTAAGCAACAGGAAGAAGCACTCACAAGGACAGTGTTTTAAGAAAGAATATTTGATAATTTTCCAAAATGATGAAAGAGTTCATCAACTTTTAAGATGCAAGAAATCCAAGGAAACGTAAATAAAAATAAATGCACAAGTATGGACCTTACAGTAAAACTGAAGAATATAAAGCAAAACCAGTCAGTCAAGCAAACAACCGACCAACCAACCAGCCAGCCAGCCAACTTACCAACCAACCAACTAACCAAACAAACAAACAAAAAATTGATCTTTAAAGTATCCACAAAGAAAATAGCTATCTGCAGACCAAGCAACTAGATTAACAATTGACTGCTCCACAACAATCAATAGAAGTTATAAGAAATGAAGTAATATCTTCAAATGTTGAGATAGAAAAATTGTATATCTACTAAAACTATTTTTCAAGTATAAGGATAGTCTATAAACATATGTGGAAGAATTAAAATCTAGTACAGTAACTACTAAAAGATCCTTGGTAGAGGAACTCCCTAAGGGATACTTAGGAACCAGAATTATTCTTAGAGAAATGGCAGAAATTCTAGAAGGAATAGTGAGTAAAGAAAATGTCCGATATATGCTTCACAAAAATTCCCCAGGAAACATGTTTAAGAATGTGTCCGGCAATCTTGTTTATAATTAAAAATGTGAAAATGACTCAATTTTAGTATAATGCCTAAAATAAATTGTGGAATCTTCATACTATGGAATAGTATAAAACACTGGCACCTGATTCCTATAGGCATTAACTTGGATGACTAGAACAAAGCACACCATATAGACTTGTACAATATAATTTTATTTCTAGGAACTACATGATACTTGTTTGAGAATAAGAACTTATGTATGACAGAACTATAAATATGCAAATGGGAGTAATCAAAAGAAAACCAATGCTTATCTCTGGTGGCTGGGAGAACGATTCATTGGATGGATATAATCAAGGGATACTGATAATATTTTTGCTTTATTTTATATTTTCCTATCTTTTATTTGTATTGTAAATTTTACAATAAGACAGTTATAAAATTTAATTATCTAATAAGGTAATAGGCAGAGGATTTGGGATCAGCATGGGTGAAAGCCTTCTGGCAGGAACAGCCTTAGCAAGTATGAGCATCAAAGAAAGGAACTCTTAAGTGATGGGGCGGTACAAAGTTTCCTGTTGCTCTTGTCCATCCTTACACACCCCACCTTTGCACATTGCCAGCATGTGTTTTCATGCACTGTGACAGGTAGTAAAAAAATGTTTCATGTTTTGTTATTTGGAGGTCTTTTATTTCCTCCTTTGTAAAATATTATATGCATCTTATAGGTCATAACTTCTGTGTTGAAGCACCTAAATGTGGTGAAAACTCAGAGTGCAAAAACTGGAATACGAAGGCTACTTGTGAGTGCAAGAATGGTTACATCTCTGTCCAGGGAGACTCTGCCTACTGTGAAGGTAAGGAAGGTGCCTAATTATGTAACACACAAGAAACTGGCCCAGAAACACGGTCCTGATAGATGGCGCTACAGACTGAAAGCCATTGCTCGGATTTGTTCCTAGGGGATTCTACAAAAATCACATCAGTTACTCAAGGTACTCTGTTCTCTGGCTTTATCCAGGCTACCTAACCTGAGAAAAGCAAGGCCTTTGAAACTGGTTACAGATACAGGGGCACACACATCCCATGTTCTCCTGTGCCTGCTAATCACAGAATGATCTTAAACATAGCACTTCCATTTTCAATTTTGAGGAGATTGTCATCTGCAAGTTCAGTTACGTGTTACGTGCTGGATTCTCTTCCTATAGCTTGGCATTTGTTTAATCCCAGCTGTCATCTTTTTCACTTGGCAAGGTCAGATATGTTTTTTTCAGTTGGATTTCTTAATGATTCATTTATGTGCTGCCAATTACAAATCTGTAAGAATCACAGTGACAGGACTCATGATTTTGGCACCTGAGCTGAAGTCATTACAATGGGTTTCCATGATGCATGGCTCTTTCATGTCTTTTGTGAATGGCTCTCGACAAGCTCAGCATGCCATGCTGCTGGTGATGTGCATCTTGCAACCATGTTCCTTTAGTATGGCAGAGGAGTGGGCTTAACTCTAACACTGCTGTGTACAGATGCTGCTGAAATGACTGAGCCCATGCTTTTCTGAGGTACTCTCTGGCTCTCCCTTGTCAATGTGGAGAAGTTCTAACAGGTAAAGTGAGACTGGGCACTTTCTGTGTCCCAGGTCCTGTCATAGCAGTCATTCTTTTTATTTTCACTAATTAAATATTAAGCCATGGTGAGCTGGTAGTTAGGGAGGTAGCTTTCTTTAGTAAGTGGTGTAAAAATCTGTCCACTGCCCTAAAAATATTTGGTTCTAAAATGGACATCGAGATTTCTCAGTGTAAAGATAACATTAATAGATGTCAGTAAGAGTAAATTCTTTTCCAGTCTTCACTTTTATATCATTTGTCCTGTCTTAACTTTTGGGTTTGGCTAAATGCTAGCAGTTGTTAAGGAAATGTATCTACTCATGTCTAGTGTTGATAGTTTATTATTTTAATTTCTTCAGGAAGAGTTGTTCATTTATACTTTCCTTTTCATTAGCAGTATTCTAACATTTTTTCTTTCCTTTTTGTTATCTTTTTATCCTTTTGCTTACTTTGTAGATTTGAAGTTGATTAAGACATAACACTTGGAGAATGAAGCTGCTCTTTGACTATGATCCTTTTTATTTATTCTTTAACATCATGCTACTGTTTTGTTAATTTGCAGGAATTGGATTATAAATTTTAGTACTTCACACTAAAATTTATTTTAAAAAATTTTACCTTACACAATTTTTTTTTTTTTTTTTTTTTTTTTTTT